TACTGCTGCTGCTGCTACTACTACTACTACTCCTACTACTCCTACTACTCCTACTACTCCTACTACTACTACTACTACTACTCCTACTGCTGCTACTACTGCTGCTGCTGCTGCTGCTACTACTGCTACCACCACCACTACAACTACTACTACCACCACTGCCACTACCACTACCACTGCCACTACCACTACCACTACGACTACTGCTACTGCTGCTGCTTCTGCTGCGACTACTTCTACTACGACCGCTACTACTACTACTACTACTACTACTCCTACTCCTACTCCTACTTGCTACTGCTACTGCTACTGCTACTGCTACTGCTACTGCTACTGCTACTGCTACTGCTACTGCTACTGCTACTGCTGCTGCCACTGCTACTCCTGCTGCTACTGCTGCTACTGCTGCTCCTGCTGCTGCTGCTGCATGCTTCTGCTACTGCTGCTGCTACTCCTGCTGCTACTGCTGCTCCTGCTACTGCTGCATGCTTCTGCTACTGCTGCTGCTGCTGCTGCCACTGCCACAGCCACTGCCCCTTCTCCTGTGACTGTCACGACGACTACGACGACGACCACTACTGCTACTGCTGGTAGGCCACGATCACCACACCACCACCACCTGCTGCTTTTGCTTGCTCCTACTGCTGCTGCTACACCCCCTGCACCACCACCATCAGAGGATCTCATGCGAATTTCGATCACAATTCTCCACTCTGCGAGAATTTCTCTCCTGGGCGTAAGGAGACAGACATGGAGCCGGCCTGCTTGGCTTCAGCCAATCGCACCGTTCGCCGAAGTCTCAGATGAACGAGGCCTCCCGGAAACTACAAACGGTCGGGAAGCCTTGAGCTGTTGGAAAGCCCTCGACCCGGATTCCGCTCCGCTTGCGAACTCAGAAGAATGCGTCGCCACCCTTAAAACGGAGCAAAAAAAGAGACTATAGACGATAGTGGTGGCAGTAGCTACTGCTTGGCTGCAAACTGACTTTCTCTTGCGCGTATGCAGACCGGACACCCTCAAGTGTAGAGACTTCACGAATCGGCTCCCAAAACCTGAATCTACCAGGGAAAGCAGTCAACCCTAGTTACTATTGTTGTCTATCGCACATCTCTCCATGTCGACATCTCACGGCCTCAACTTGCAGATGCGAAGACTCTGAAGAATGGAAACCGGACCGAGCAGCTTTTCGGAGTCAAGGTTGGCGGGCAAGGGGGGAGAGAGCGAGCGAGTGAGCCTAGACCGACGCAATATCTTCAAACCGAAGACTTACCCTTACAGCACCTGCGGCCGCCACCGCCACGGGGAGGTGAGAGACTCGCCGAAAGTGCGGCCTTTCGCACCCTGTCGAAACTGGGCCTCAGCTCTGCTCCCTGTAGAGAGATTAGAGATTAAGAAAAACGATCACGGCGAGGGGAACCCGACGGCATTCCGCGAAGGTCTGGCTCTCAGTTCTCAGCATCAACATTTTTGTCCCTCGAACACTCGCATGGTAAACAAGCATGCTGCCGCTACTGTGGGTCCTGGCGCTCTCTGACACCGAAGCAACAAGCTCCCTCTCTCCCGCTTGTGCCAAGGTTCTCGGTAGCCACGGCCCCGAGCTTGGAGGCACCAGCTCAGGAAGCTGCATGGCTTCCCGGCACTTTGGCTGGGATCCGGTCTTCTTCCAAGATATACGTAGTATGTCTGTGCATATTTTTCACACGTCCAGGTCTTACACCGACTCCTTGCAGGCATTGAGGCTTCCATCGATTCTCTATTCTGGCGATGTCAGCCTCGGGTAAACTTCACCATGGCCATTTGCAGCTGCGCGAGCGAGCGCGGCATCTACGTATGCGCTGGGTTCGTCCATGAGCTGCTCTGGCTTCTGATGCGGCAGGGCCCGGCAAGACATGTTGTTGTGTACCCCTTGCGCTTACGGACACACAGGATCGACAAAAAAACATCCCCTGACTGCAATGTGAAATTTCGGGATCCTCCGGCCGCACCCCCAATCTTTCAGCAGGCGAACCTTACTGCAACGTCCGAGGGCATCATTCCGAAGGAGTGCCTGTATGAGATCCTCCCCGATCAGCCGGTACAGAACCTGGGAGGTGAACCCCGACATCAGGCAGGCCGAAAGCCACAAGAGGCACAGCCCTTTTTTACTCGATCAAAATAGCCTCAACGTCAACCGAAACAGCAATGTGGAAACCGTGCTTCTGGAAACCCAATAGAAAGACTGAAATGCTCCGCAAGAGCTCAGGGCGCTTCCGTCTTCTGATCTGTGGTTGGCCGGAAAGCACGAATCTGGTCCTGCCGGTTGCAAGAATGCCGCCTTCTTGGTAGTCGATCCGATCTGGATTTTGCAGCACTTCGGGTTGACAATGGCTATAGATCTAGAGGCATGAAATCACGAATTACAGACAAATTTCTACCGCTGCATCAGACATGCCACTCTCAGAGGGACATGAAGGCAGTAGCCCCAGAAGGCCAAGCTTTCATTCAACAGGCGTGGGCATAAGCGCGGCCGACTTGAGCGTCAGTCTCTCGTAAGGAACCCTAAGCAACCACAAATCCCCCATCCTGGCCTCCAAGTAAATACCGCCCCTGGCTCTCCAGGGCTCCAATGCCTGCTGCAGCAATGCGTGCCTACTTTGCGCACATGCACACACGCAGACATGCACTCACCGAAACGAGCGACCGTCGACATCGGAAGTCTGTGCAAAGCAAGTCAGGGTCTGGGCCTCGCCTGTCTGATGGGCGCGAAGAAGTTACACTTCCCAGATGCGGTGCGCGCAAAGCGCACAACACAGCGATTGGCTTCTTCTGCGTCCTGCTATTTCCCGGCAGTCGCATCTACTTTCATACTTCTATTGGTTCCGTCAATGATGCTTGGCCATAGACCGGAACGTGCAGAATGGAAGGACCTCTCTGTCATGCTGAGCCATGCTGAATCATGATGGCAGCTGCAGGCCTAAGACTTGCAGCTATGCTCTCTCGTCTCCTCGGGTTCTGGAAGCTTGGTAGACTCCGCCTGTGCATGGGAGGCTCAGCAGGAGAAGGCGCTGTCACCGAATTCCCATAAACCTGTCCTGGCCCAGATGGATCGATAGCTGGTAGCCAGCAGACAGGCGCGCGGCTGCCAGTGGCAATGGGTGGCCTGCTGCGGCTGTCAGCAGGTCCCAAACACCGGTCCTTGGCTGTCTTCGAGATTTCCGGGCCCATGTCGACCTTCTCTGCTCGTTAGTCAGGTATGCTTGGCTACCGAGCGAAACGAATCGAACACGAATTCTGAAGACTGGCCGTGCGTCTGCTTCTGGGCTACGCCGACGAGCCCGTCACTTTCGACATCATAGACAGGAAGTCTAATCCAAGCCATGGCTAAAAGGGCAGCCGACGCCACTAGCTGGCACTCCCTGGCCTCCTCACTAGCAAGGAAAGCCCAGCTTGCTGCCATCAGGCCTCGCTGGCCTAGCTCCGCGCTTGGTCGTGGAAGCAGTCTTTGCTGCAATGTCCAAGCGTATCCGTCAGAGTTTATGCAAGGGTCGTCCCTGGAATGGCTCTGCAGACATCGGTACAGCAGGTAAAGCAGCTGAAACACGGGCCACCCAGACCGTACGACTGTGTTCCAGCCGAAGGCCTGCAATACATGGAAGTCCCTGCCCAGCAGCTCTTGGACCTCTGTCTCACCCAAGCCCAAACTCGGGGAGCCTGCAGGCAGAGCTTGTGCCAGGTGCAAGGCCACCTGGCCAAGAGGGCAATCTTCCTCCTCTCCCAGCTCTTCCTTGAAGTCTTCCACAAGAAGGGCAACATCCCCCAGAACCACGGCCACCTCCCTGTTCGAGGCTACCGGGGCACTCGAAACTCGATAGAGACGACCGCGAAAGCGACGCCAACTGCCCTGACATTGCAAAATCTCAGGCAACGACAAACTCGGAAGTATCCCAGCAAGAAGTATCGCCACCCATGCAGCAATAAGCATCGTCGACCCCGGCACCGTTCTTCGCCATGGCGTCAGCTGGAAGTATTTAGAAGTGCTCCTAGCATGGTCTTTTTCGGCCAGGCTGGTCAAGCGCTACATCAGTCAGCACTCCCCAACTACCAAGAAATCAAGATACAACGTATCTCCTTTTGCTAGTTGCCACCCAATGGGATCTAGTGCCATGTAACAGTTGAGCCTAGCAATGACTCTGGTGTGGATCCTTGGTTTTCGTGATTAAAGATTGCTGGGCGTAACGAGAAGCTTCGGTCGTCAGGAAACTGCGTGTGCTCCTGCAGGCATTTGCTGATTTTGCAACCTGAATAGCCTCCAACCTCGAAGCCACGTTCATACCTTGTCATCACCACTATATGCGCTCGTACTCGCTTTTGTTTTATGCCCTAAATTCGTTCCTGTTGCCACTACCGCGAAGTAACGCCGTTGTCATCTTCCTCTTCCGCTGCTGGGACATACTGGGAGCCAAACCGCACACCCACCTTGGATGAACTCCTGCTGGTAAGGCCTTGGCGAGTTGATGTTTAGGTCCACGATGGTCCGAGCACGGTGGTCTGAAACAGAAAGACGTCGATTGCACAACCCTCATGAAGTGTGGCATATTATTGCGTCGCCCGTATTTACCGCTCTTTTCTATTTACCAACTTCACATACTATCGAAGAAACAGAGAGCGCCAGTGTTGTTACACGATGGCGAGCTGCTTTTGTGGGTGTTTTTGGCGCCCGCATGGCAACGTCCGCAGACACGGCTTGGCAGGTTACAAGAGAGATTCGAAGCTGTGTGGCAACTGATAACGGAAACCTATCTGATCGGAGTAGCTGTCATGAAGACAGTGGCGCAGTATGAGCAACAGCACATGCTGCTAGAAGTTGCACTGGTAGTAGCAGTAGCAGTCGCAGCAGTCGTAGCAGTCGTAGCAGTCGTAGCAGTAGTCGTAGCAATACTAGTAGCAGTAGCAGCAACAGTAGCAGCAGCCTGCCGTAGGAGTAGCATGAGCAGTTGCAGTAGCTGTGGGGGTGGTACTATCGTCGTCGTAGTTGTGGTAGCAGTAGTAGCAGCAGCAGCAGCGGCAGCAGCGGCGGCAGCAGCAGCAGTAGTAATCATGCAAGCTGGGGGGGGCACCGTGGCAGACGAGTGAGAAACACAGCCTGGCGAGGAGAACAGTCGCCTTCGCCTTCGACCATTTGATGGTTTTTTGCCCTGGACACTGCTTAATCAAGTAGAGCAATGTGATAACTTAATTGACTACAGTGATTCTGGCATGGTCGTTCGAGCAGGACTCCGCGAACGGACTTGAACACCGGATTGCAGACTGTCTTAGGCAAAACCTCACCGATCTGATGCCGGCTTCGCCTCCATCACCGGAGGGCGCTGGTTCTGCTGATAGTAGCCCAAGAGCTTTCTGGCAGGGTTTGCAGGCTACGGTATGGTGCGGAATTCTGCAATTCCCTTCAGTGTCACTCCCGTTGACGGCCTTTGGAAGTGGCCAACCTGGGCTCAAGCGAATGCAGCTACGCACGGGGCCGATCTGTCGCATGATCTGGGCTGCTGACTGAAAATGCATAGTTGTGGACACAGGAGGCCTGAGAAGAGAAAGATCATGCGCACTGGCATCGCTCAATGGGCTCTTCGACATCTCACGGCTGACACAAGGCAGGCAAGCTTCCACGAGTCTGGCGAAACACTGAAAGACCCGAACGATCCAGTACATGGGAAGCTCCTCACAACACAGACCGACCCAACTCCTAAGAGCATGTCGACAACGTAGACCATACACCCAAACACCAAGCACGAAGCACAGCCATCCCACGCACTGACAAGACAGGTCACAACAGCCACAAATCCCAAACAAGACTCTACGAAACCCCAACTTAACACCAACAGTGCTACAACAACATACTGGGAGTGATACCGGGATGCCACTCCTGCACGACCAACTTTTCAAAAGATCACAGTATTTGTTCGTGGAGGCGGCGGGGCCGCACAGACTAATCAAACCCTTGCGTCATCGTGGCACCGACCAGATCCTGAGCCTCAGCTCAGTGGTCCACAGTCATCGCATCGCCGCATCTAAGGATATTGTCGTCCCACTCATGCAAACTCCATAAAGTAAGCATCGATGCGTTGAATGAGAGAAGGCCCAGCTGGGCCTCTCGACATTCGTTGAATGTCCCCAGCTGAGCCTCTTCTTCTCTTCAGACAAGAGTTGTCGGGAATAACCGAACCTTATTCCCTGCTTCCAGAGTAGGAGTTGCTCGAAGATGATCTGCGTCTTCTACATTTCGGGGGAGGCGGCAGTGTGCCATACGCACGCTCCTTGAGCTGTCGGACCTGCTTTATGGGGTCTTTAGCAACGCTAAGGACGGCGAGTAGCCGCAGCCCTTCCAGCGCTGGGGCCCAGGGAGAGGTGCACCGGTGTGGTGCGGTCCTTCCTGTTCGACGCAAGCCCGAGAGTACGGAGGATGCTGCTGCCGTCGGAACACTGAATTGGAGGCCACCACGGAGCAGGTCTCCGAGCGCCAGATGCCCTCAGAGTGAAGCTCTGCCAGGATCCAGCATTCGTTGCGATCGGATGTCCCCCGGTGCTAAGGCTAGTGAATTGTCGCCAGCATCGCGTCCCCGAGGTTGAAAGCCACCTTGCCCAGGGTTCTTATTCCAGGCAGGCAACCATGCCGTTCACGCCGAGGGCGACTTCGATGGACGACCAGCCTTCAATAGGGCCGGCCTCGATGATCTCCAGCACTTTCACCCACGAGAAGCCGACTTCGGCATAGTCGTCGACAAGCAGCTCGGCAAGCCCACCAATTCTTGAAAGGAACGGAGCTAGAAGCCATGGCTCGCACGCACTGGAGCTCAAAGCTTTGTGGCTTAGTGGCTGTAATGCAGCTTGCTGTGTTGGATTCCGACTTCCCAGCTTCGCTAGGATCCTACATGGTGGCTGCTTACCCAGTTGAATCATCTGACAAAAGCCATGGAGTACAGTATGGGCTTTTGAGCTTCTGCGGCAAAAAACTTCCATGATGCCTGGATGGCTCTTTAAAGTCTTTGGACTTCATGAGCCATCTTGGGGCTTCGGACTCCTCTTCTCAAAGCCTTGAGCCCTTGGCTCTTTCGGACCGGGGGCACTACTGCTTCTTTTACCTGTGCAGCAGGTGAGTTGGAGAGGTTTGGAAGCCTAGAAGCGCGACATGCTGGTATCAAAGACCATTCACTGCGACAGTTCGGAAGTGCACTAGCAGCACTAGCAGCTACAGGACCATCCGAAGCGAGGCAAGAACAACCCAACACAACGAGCAGATGTCTAGAACTGCTTCTTTGGTGCACCCGTGTGCCCAGATTTCTGATAGGCGATTGCTCCAAGTCCGCAGCCTCTGTGGTGTTGTCGCACCAGGAGAAGGAGTACCTCCACGAATGGCGACGACTGAACACGAGAGTTGACAGGGCGAGCGGAAAAGACACAAACGCTGCAGGCAGGCTGTGCAGTCACGGCCTGATCTAAGCACACCGAGAAAGTGCAGTTGGGAGGGCACTCCGGATAGCACATAAATGCCGATGATGAGCACAACAGCATGGCCACGCCTCAAGGACTTGACATGCCCAGGGTAGGCGGCTCAGCGGCTGCGTGACAACACACCGTGCCACATTACTCGGCCTTCTTGACCCCTGGTGCTCAACACGCTGGCGATTGTGCTTGCCAACAGTGGATTGCTAGAGTCGAACCATGTCGAACCAGTAAACTCAAGAGAGTGGCTCAGGTGACGTTTTCCATATTCCATTCATCTCCGTCTGTGTAGGACCCCCCCCCCCTTTTCCACAGGGCTGACAGACATGCTGACAATTTTCTTGGCGCCCGACCCAGGCCATGGAGCCATGAGGTCCGGCCGCCTGGGCGAGCACCTTAGCTCTTGCAAGATCGGGAGCCCTGAGTGGAGTAGTTCATGTAACATATTATATATATATATACACATATATATATATATATTTATATTTATATTTATATTATATATATATATTTATTTATTTATTTATTCTTATTATTATTATATATTTATATATAAATGCACATATGCATCTGTCTCTCTCTCTCTCTCTATATATATACACATATATATATATACATACATACATACATATGTATATATATATATAAATTGTATGTTACCTGTAGTGATGCAGTGTAGATTAACCCTTATGAGACATAGCTAAGTCAATGTCAAGAGCGGCGCATGGGGGCCACATGGTCTCCCGGGTAGCCTCATGGGAGAACCATCAGCACGCTATGTGCCATCGTCGGGCAGCAGGAGTTTTGAAGTGATACGTCTCTGCTAAGGATGGCTTCGGTGGCTCTGCGAGCCCGGTGTCTGTAGCATGTCAACGGGATAATGGCTTCGCAAACTCTAGTCATTTACATCTTCTGCTTAACCAGCCAGCGCTTGCTCTCAAACTACATGCAGCTGCATGGCAAATCGTGGTAAGCTGCCATGGGAGTCGCTGGACTAAGACATCGGGCACCTCCGACACATGTTCATGCGGCCCATGTGGCCACAGGCGGCTTGAGAGGAAGGCAGGCACAAGTGATCACCCATGTGGTTAGACATGCGTCATCTTCGAGACCAGCTCATGACGGCGTTAAACCGATGTTGATGTGATGGCTTGCTTGATATCTAAAGTAGACATCGCGGCTTTTCAGAGTTGTCCTTTAATGCCTGCTTGCTCTACTCGTGGAGGTGGCTGTCTGCGAGCAGAGACTGCTAAACCATCGCAATTATTGCATCGATGCAACACTCCGTCTTTTGCCTTGCTGGCATGGGCCATCATTGCCCTTCATCAACCAAGTGTTCGGCGATTCCCAGGCAGACCTTCAGCTTCGACGGAAGTGTCTCGCTGTAAACCCTAAACCCGCAAAGCTCTTGCCTTGAGCGTGAAGGACTCGTCCATTCCTCAAAACACTTACAACAAAGGCCATGCAGGAATGTGGCGAGGAACT